ATGTTACAGACTATTTTATACTTGCCAATAATTTATATTGCTCTGCCATTGCAGTTTTACATGAGAGTCTCCAAAATAAACCTCTCAAATTGCAGTTATGTACCAAGGCAAAGCCATATTGACCATTCCTCATAATGGAAGCCAAATTGGTAGATCTTGTTCATCCAAACTAGCAGGACCCCTGCAGTTCAAGAAGTGGAGGCCCAAGCTACAAGATTTCTGAATCTTGCATCAAGATAATCTATGATACTAAGGCCTCATGCATGTCGATTGTAAGCCTTTGTTTTTATTGAATGCCCTAATAAGTCCTCAAAGTCATAACTCATGATTATCACTGATGTTGGAGATGTCGATTAGCCTTGGCCTTTGCTCACCTATTGACTAATGGGATCAACTAGCTAGTAGAAGCCAAAGATATTAGATTCTCATATGTCTCCATGTGATCATCTATGACACAAGGGCCCAATGTAGATCAGTTGTAAGTCCATGGTAATTTGGGATGACTGTAAGTCCTCTCAAGCCTTTGCTCTAGATGGTCTCCGATGCTAGAGGTCTTGGCTGGCTATAGGCCCTTTCTGATTACCTTTTAGTATTCTTTTATTGAAGTCCAACTTTCGCTAGCAACTACCTTGGTGACGAAAACTATGGAGCTATTGCCTTGAAAGAATTTGCTACAACTAGATAAACTGAAAATCCTATGTGAATAAGCTTATGATCGTCTGGTGGAAAGACATGAGCCAACATTATATCCTTGATGATTCGAGTGGCCTGTCGGACCCATAAGCTCTATCATAAGACCATCACGATGCTAACACCAATGTAAAGCACTAAGTTTTAACTTAGGATTCAGAAGACCTTGTCCTCTAAGGATTGGTTATCCTTTTCTAATTGGAGAACTAATAAAGGAGTTTAGGTCACCCATAGATTTCTCTATCTACAAATATATTGGGAATTACTAGTCCTTTATTCTCTTTGAAGTACTAGTGAGGGAGTCAATGTCCTATTTAGACCTTAACTCATTGAGGAATTATATTAAAGCCTCGACAAGTTAAGCTAAGAACCCAAAGTGGACTTACCTTGTTCTGCCCTATGCTAGCCAAATTTCTTGGAGATTGAAAGAATATATCCAATAGAGGTCAACTTGGGGATTGAAAGAGTATCTAAAAAAAACTGTTATCGGCACTACCATAGACTTACTCCTTTAACCTACATGGACAAAAAATCTAGGCAAATGAAAGAGTATCTTCTATAAATACATAGCCGGCATGGGAGCTAAGCTAAGAACACATCATGGACTTATTCCTTTAACATGAAAGGACAAACTATCTAGGGGATTGAATGAGTATCTCCTATAAACACCAGGGAAGATAAGCAAAGGACTTATCATGGACGTATTCCGTTAACCTGCTTTGACAAATTATCTTGGGATTGGAAAGGGATTCTCCATTAATAGTCCGAGTTAAAAGAGTATCTAGGGTCGAATTTCTTCACCTATTAATGGTCCCAGATTGAAAGAGTATTAGGGGTGGGATTTCTTTACCTCTTTAATGGCCTAAGGTTGAAAAAACATCTGAGGTTGGATTTCTAACCAAAATATCACGGATGGCAAGAATATCTCTGATAAAAAGTATCTTATGTTGGCTCAAAATACTTGAGAAGCCAAACAATATTAGTTATTTTCGTTGGTTTTCTTCTATTAAAAATGTCTTGGTATCAACATAAGTCCATTTATTTCGCTTCAACAGCCATCTAGAGAATGTTTCAAAATTTATGCGATGTCATGAAATGACTAAACAACAATCCAAAATTTCAACACAACGGCAATAAAGCATCAAAATACTTTATTTTACATAAATGTGAAACTCGGACTAAGGCATTAATGTTATGTGCTGAAATAATTATTGGCCATTAAGTCTCCAAGCCACAAAATGGCCCCATTCCATGCCACAGTGTCACAAACTAATACTTTGACCTCTGCCTTTGAAGCGTCATGAACAAAAAATGCGACCTGACCATCGAAGTCTCTACTTGTTGAGGGAACACAGACCATCAATCACTTAGCTAAATCTAAATTGGAAGTCTAATCCAAAAAACCAACATTAAAAGCATTGGCTCAGCCTCGAACGTAGACATCATTTAAGTATGAACTCTAACACCATCAACATAAACACTGCATTAAAACCATGCGTGCCATAATCAATTGCAGGACAAATGCCACTGAAGCACAAACCTCATCAAACATCTTGAAAGATAGACTTAATGTTGTCCAACATAATGATGGAAAATGTTAACTCATGAAAATGACCAAAAGGCCCCTAAAAATTATCTATAATTAATGCCATTTGCATAACTAATGAAAGGTTGAAAATCTAAAGATCCAATCTTCCACTTTCTAAATAACTGCCTCGAATCAAGGTCAAATCTTAACTAATGCCTAAAAATCTATGTTTATTTTTTTCCCAATAAAAAGCTTTAAAAAATCCCAAATGGCAAAAATCCTGCCAAAATTCCAAAGGAAAACTTCAATATTGGCTTTTAAAACTACTTTTTTTAAGGTCAACAGATAAATTGTAATTGGGACTCGTCTTACTGAATATTTATTTGACAAGAGATGATATATGAATCATCATATATGCCCATGTATTTTAAACATAAATCAATATCTAAATTTGTAATTAATATTGTCAATGATTTATGCTTTATTGGAACCTCTAAAGAGCTCTCAAAGGCAGTTGGTTAATTAAAGAAAGAATTCAAGACGAAAGATCTTGAAAAATAAATTTTGGTCTCACTACTGGAAAGTGTGTGTTCAGCGATGGAAAATTACCGGTGGTCATTTCCATTGCTAATAGTGACGGATTTCATACAATATATGAATTTAATTATTTTAAATTAAAAAGGCAAGGTTTACCGATAAAAACAACAACATATACCAGTTGTTAGTGATTTTCTATAGGTATTTCGTTGGTAAACTTTGAATAAAAAAATAAATATTATAAAATATTTACTGATTGACTTTTTCATAGGTAAATTTGGAATAAGAAAATTAAAAATTACTTAAAATATACCAACGAATATTTCCATTGGTGATTCCATCCGTAATATTAGACCCGACCCGTCCCATCCGTAACATCTTCGAGCTTAATCCCAATTTACAGCTACTTTTCTTCCTTCCCCCAAAATCGACCTCACACCTAATTGTATATGTATTTTGTAGTTCTAAAAGGAATAATTGAAATATCAAACCTGGAATTCATATAGATCGTGGTAAAAGCTTGAATCATACTTGTAATTTTTTGCATTTCCATTTCAAAGTAATATGGTAAGTAATCTATAATTATTTGTGCGAAATCCTTTTTTTAAGAGATAAGTTTCTTGAGTTCAAGGTTTACTTCCATATAATGTAGCATCTTAATGATGCATTATAATCTGTCACAAATTTTCTATTTTTTTGTTATTATTTTTATGCTTTCAATATTTGAGAGTATCTTGATTCTTAATTCTTTTATGTTTATATTTTCTTAGTATGCAATTTGATAATAGTATATAGCTGAACTTAAGCATCTAAAGAATTTATGGAAAAGAATTTAGTTACTTTAGTCATATGCTTTCTTTATTGTAGTGTGTAGTTACATATGTACTATTAATGAGTAGATTTCTTGTTTTCTTTTTGTGTAAATATAGATGTAACATTGTTGAACAACATGGAGGCTGAATGTAGTTGGATGTTTGAATGAGCCGATGATGGTTTTCCTTCTAACATGTTTAATAAAGGGGTTGAAGAGTTTATTGAATTTACCTTTTCACAACCAAGATTTGGAGATAAAATTAATAATTGGCACGTATACAACAAACTCATAGATCCAAAATAAATAAGAACTCGCTGGACTATAAAACAAAAAGAATAAAATTAAACATTCAACAAATTCACATGGTCAAATCCATAATCATCCACTAAATATATATCTATCACATAAATTATTCCTATATAATATCTAATATTATATGTAAAGATGTTTCAAATTTCTAACGATTATGGTCATCTAAACTAATTTAGACAAAAGGATCGGATTAAGTAATTAATCAATTGATTTGATTGAAGGTTTATTTATCTAAAATAAATTTTAATTAAATATAAAATTAGAATCTAACTCTAATTACAAAATTATAGGGCAAAACAATTTAACTAAAATCAAATTCTAGTTAAATACAAAATTAGAGTCAATGTCTAATTCCATAAAAAAAAAAAAAAATTAGAAAATACTTAAGTTAAAATCCAATTTTAACGATAATGTAAAAAGTCGTGAATTTTAAATGGGTCAAGATTAAAATTTGGGTTAAAACCAAACTTCGATTCAAAATTAAATTTAAGGTCAAATCTTTAAAACTCTTTTCAAATTTGAATTCAAAACAATTTTGAAAACTACAATCTGACATCTGCTTTTAAAATTACTAGTGTACGCACGTGCGATGCACGTTTTACAGTTTAGTTGGGTATTTAATAGCGTGGAATGATTTTAAAGTATTTTTTCGATGGAAGAGATATTCTTCCTAAAAGTTCAGAGTGTGGCAACCATTCGTTAACAATATGACAATAGCTGAAGAGATGTTCTAGAAACATTGAACAAAGTTTTCACAAGATTTTATCGTGTGATTGTGTGGTTAAATAAAAAAACAAGTTTTGAAAGAATGAAAAAAAAGAAAAAAACACGAGCTTATTTCGACGTATCTTCAATTTTCTTTTAAATTCACATAATCACGTTATACATTAAAAAAACAACTTATTTAATTATATAATTACGAATGGAAACTTTCTTGCAAAAATAATAAACTACACTTGCTACATTATGAAGGTCAATAAAAATCTCAGTAGAAATTAGAGTAACTCTCTTGTCACCTCCATTATCTCAATTTTGTTCAACTTTGATCTCATTATACCATGGGAAAATTACGTACTTGACGTACTCAAGGCATGGATTCTTTTCTACCACGTTTGGAGTTCAGAATGCTTTTATCTTCACGTTCACTTCAGCCTGTGGACATATAATTATCATTGACGAAAGCAATAAAACTACAAATTCAGATGAACATAACTAAAAAACGAAGACAAAGCTCAGATAATCAGAGCACTCAAATAAACAAATTTTACAATTTATAGAACATTCCCTATCAAGGAAAAATGATCTGTCATCATATGCCAACTCACATTGAAAATGTTGACAGCTGTTATGCCAAGATTACTGCAAGCCATAATCAAGGATTAGCTATAATCAAGCAACAAGCCAGAATCAAGGATCGTATGAATATTTTCATAATTCATTTTCCATACATAGTTACTCTGTCTGTGTATATAAACCAGACTTAACATACGAATGAATTGTACAAAATTCAATACAAATTTTCACCACTCCATGGTGAAGAGAAATGAATGGAACAAGATTCAAAAATATTATACTCATGATAGTACCTTGCAAATTCCAGGATGAGCAAATACTGGCCTAAGAATTCCCATCACATCATGAAGGGATATCGTGTCCACTAAATAATCCTGCCTTTTAGTTGATATCTGTACACAGTTTATAAACAGATGCATAACATTATGTTCAGTTAATTATACTTTGCCTTGACCATAAAAAAATGCGTAATATTCATATCCAATGAGAAACAAAATAAAAGCTAGAGCAACTTATATACTTCACAATAAGGTCCCTTAGTTTATATTATTCATTGATTAAATAATATCAAGTGATGAGACAATCAGAGGAAGAAACTCAAAATAAAATTTTAGAGGATATTTTAAGGTTATAAGTAGAACTCATACAAAACATATATGTCATTTTAGCCTTAGTAAGACAATGTGTGGTCACAACAAAGAATCCCGTATTACTAAAGTATTATTAATATTTTTCAAGGTGTAACATACCTTGTGGTACTGAATGTTAGTCATTGAATGACAAAATATCTATAAGATGATACAACAAAAACAAAGATATTATGATGGATAGAATAAAAAATGATAATAAATGCCAAAAAGTGAAAATGTTTTAAATGGACCATAAAGTATGAAAAGACCAACTTAGATGGGTTAGGGCGTGTCTTGTACCGACCAAAAGAACTTCCTACATGCAAGAGAAGGGACATCATAGAAATATGTAAGATTGGATAAATCTGATGATGCATGTTCAAAAACATCAATTCATCCCAACAAATCTACTGCAGATTAGCAATAAGAGGAAACAAAATAGCATTTGTACTTGCAAACGGTTGTGGACATCCAGCATGAAGTTATGAAGGTGGATCCTCTTTCTCCTCCAGTTGCAAGGCCTAGGAAGACATAAAAGAATATTGATTGCAAAACATTGTGCTTATATAATCTATTGAATTAGGATCAATGCACACAGCTAGGATAAAGTTTAACTACATAGCAAGATTGGATAAATCTGAATCTGATGCCTACAATTGATAAAAAAAACAGGTCCATCAACATAGTCTGACCTGCGCCAACTCCTCCATAAAGATAAAGTCCTTTCACCGGTGCATATGAAGAATAGACTAAATAGAAATACAAAAGAATCGAAAACTCAATGAGATCAAAATCTTGTAAATGTTTGATAAATAAATCAGTTTGAGATGCTATTTTTTGTTAAAGCCAAACATTTGCTCAGGTGTTATGTCATCACATCTTCCACAAAAATCACATATTACTATTATACCTGACAAGGGTTACCTGCATCAAAAGGAAAAACAAACCTATTAAGTAAACAAAACAAAGAATTAAAAAATAAATAAAATTTGCGAACAACCTTTCCCAACCAAACACTTCAGATCCAATTAATAAGTGAATATATATCATTTAAATTCATAATTACCTCACATAGCATAAGTTGAGGGCAGTATAGTTCTTTCATATTTCCACCCAACACTGATACTTAGAAATAAAATCTAGCAACTGTTAGCCATCCAAATCAACCAAGAATGCAATGGAAAAAATATTTTGGTCATCTACCTAAATTTCCAAAACAATAATCAACAAGAAAATTTAACTTATGTTATTGATTGTTCTTCAAGATTTGTCAATCAAAATGCTTAATCTTAAAATTTTGCTTTAATCCATCTGTTTCAAATGAAAACTCTTCATATTATTCACAAAAGGTGAAAATCAGAATAAAGTTAAAAGGTAAATTGAACAAAAAAATAGAAACGAAATATTGAACATAGATTTCAGGATTTGGAAAAACCGACATGAGAAAATCAATAAAAATATACAACTTCATCAATTCTAAGCTGATTATGCTCATAGTCATACGAACTATCGACTTCCCGTTCTATTATACTAAATCGAAGTCTCAAAGATTCACCATAACTACAGCTGACTACTACAATAAAATGAGTCATCACTAATATTGAGAAACACAAATAGCATTTTAGCAATGAGGTGTCAAGACAGCTCATGCAGTAAATTCATGTTAACATAGGTAAATGGCTAAAATCTACAAACTTACCTCTTTCAAGTTCAGAACCATCCCAATTTGGAACATTATCCGTGGAACCTAAACATTCAGGGCGAACTAATTGGTGTCCACCATGCTCTTGAGATGGACATAGTGAAAAAAATAAAGTTAAGTCTTTTTATAATAGATAAATAAATAAAAAAGGAATAGAAAAAATGAGAAATATGCCTCCAATAGAAAAATCTTACCTCTTAACATTGCAACATGTCTAGATTTCCTCGTTTGCATTTCATAACCTGGCTGCAATTGTCGCGTAACAAACTATCATACAAGCAATCATAGCATTAAATCCTCGTAAAATGAGAACTAAGTCGTTGATTGCCATTAATTAAAATAAAACCAATTAAATCATAGTTAAAACTTAGAACCTAAAAATTCAAGAAAAAATGAAGAAATTACAACGACTTGTTCACAATTTTAAATAGAACAAATTGACAATTAACCTCAGATACATCAACAAAGATTAAACTATGAAATCTAGAAAATGCATAAAATAGCGATTGTAAAGGATGATACTCATACCTTCAACCTCGACAAAATTACGTGGAAAAGGATTGTCGTGCAGTGTAGACAATTTTTCAGAGAACGATTTTACGATCGTTACAAAAGGAAACCCACAAAAGGAAATTTTCATTCCAATAAATAATAGAAAATATTTCTTTCTATCTGTTATGTGATTAGACAAAAAAAATTTGAATGGTAACTGGGCACACTTCCTTATAAAAAGTGCACAAACAAAGTCGCTTTTTAATATTATAGTGAAATAGTGATAGTGAAATACAATAAGCAATTGTGGATAGACATCCCTTCATAGAAGGGGGGGAAGATGTTATAAAAGGACCATAATTAGAAGGCTGTGCTGTTGCTGCTACAGAGCAAGGTGCACCGTGAGGAGCGAGAAGATTCTGGCGAGCTTTATGGTCTGCAGGTTGGGGCAGCTCATGCATAGCAAGAGCTGTAAAAGGCACTGTGGCTGGAGACAGAACCTGTGCTTCCAATGGTTTATTCAGTAAGTCAGCATCAGTGGTGGATAACGCATAACATAAAACAAGCAACCCCTTCAAGATTGACCAGCAGATCTCTTTCACCAACCCTGATTTTATATTGTAAACTATGTTAAATGAGTTCGCAAAACTATAATAGGGGAAGGAATAAGTTACAACATAAGAATATAAACTCTCACTTGAAATCAAGAACAAATTAAAAATGGTTCTATTTCTTTGTCCAAATAATTACACAATTATGTGGCTTTCTAAATTGCTGCAACAAATCTGAGAAAAGAGATATTATGGTGCAAATATGCTTGAGCTCTATCTCCTTTATGTAATAATAGGAAATTGAATCATGTAAAATTTAATCTTCTATGCTTTGCATTGGTCACAACTCCACATTATTGTTTATCCATACCTTGTGAATTGAAACAAAAATCCCTTACTTTTTGAATCATGTAAAATTCAATCTTCTATGCTTCGCATTGGTCACAATACAACTCCACATTATTGTTTATCTATACCCTGTGAGTTGAAACAAAAATCCCTTACTTTTTGCAAAAAGCACCTTCAACAATTAACTCACAATACCTTATTTTTCCACAATCGTACAGTAACTTATGCATCAGTAACATAAAATTTAGGATTATATATCTCCAGTCTCCAGTGCCTGAATTTGAACTCGGAAATCGTCCATATACAGAATTATTTTTTGAAGAACAGTGAGAAACTAACAACAGAAATTAGTAATGGAAATTTATAAAAAGTAAAAAAGGGGAAAACTTGAAAGTAAGCTCGACTTTGAACTGAATCAAAGAACTCAAACTCAAGCAACTAATAAACATTAGAATCAAGTATACTTCAAAATTAAAAGCTTAAAGTAAATAATCACATTATATAGATCCACGCTCACATCATAATACACGAGTATTAAAAGCTAATAACGAATTCATAAATACAAAATTAAGACAAATAAACCGCACCAGAGCCGCTAAAGAAGAATGGCAATCTATCGAAGCACAGCATCACTGACGCCGACAAATATGAGCCCTTTCAGATTTGAGGAAAATTAAGAATCAAACCGAGAGTGAAATGCGGGAGAGTCTAGGTTTTCGATTGAGTGTAGAAATGGGGAAATAGTGGGTAAGAGATCAAACCTCGATTTCGATTGAGTGCAGAAATGGGGAAAGTGTGCTTCGATTGAGTGCAGAAATGGGGAAAGTCAGAAAATGGAGCAAACGATTTTTTTTTGGTAGTGATTCACGCCAAAACGATGTCGTTTCAAAGGACGAAATTGTGAACAGTGTTTTTAAAACTGGCTCTTTTATTGTATAGGGATATAGGGATAACCAGGACGTTCTAATTTTGTAAATTGCATAAATAGGTCCTCCTTTTAAACTTGCAAATTGATCACTTATTTTAAATTAAAATCAGCCCTTTCCATATTCTCAAATTGCAACCAAGCCCTTCAATCGAAAATTACAAACTTGACCCCTGAAATCTTATTGCAAGCGGGGCCAGCAATTTCTCAAATTGCAACAAAGGCTCCTTCTTTAAACACCCGAAACCTTAAAAATTATTTCCCTTTCTTCTGATCTCAGTTGTGCTGACTACAATTGGCACCTCGTCGAACAACCCATGATGCCCAACTGATGTGCTGATCACTTGAAAATTACTTGGACAACGTCGAATGCTCTCATTGCAACTGCAGCGCCGGTGTTGCAACAAGGTGGTGCACTAAGGCACGGTTCAGTCTCAAGCTACCGCCACTCCTGCGACCACGGCATCACCAATTGCTGCCATCCATGTAGCCCTTCTGACCCCTTTTTCATCCAAAATTTTATTTTCTTTTTCAAAAAAGATTTTGAAGAAGAAAACAATTTTCTAAATTGCTAGATTCATAAATAACAATAAATAATCAACTTTTGATATTTCGAAGACGCAAAATAGTTTCTAACAAGTACAAAATAAGCTTTGATGCCACTGTTGAAAATTTACTTAACATGTACAACGGAATTTAAACAATATTTCAATTTCCACCAAAGATCTTCTTTGTATTTATAAAGAAACGGTGAGTTTGTTGTATTTTGCAAACTACTTTACTTATCTTGAACAAAAATAATCACGATCTGCAATCCACAATCGTCCATTGACTAGCTTCCAATGAAAATCCCACAGGGAACAAGAATGATTGAATTGAGATTTCTATTTTCTTATCCTAGTAAGATAATGAATTGTGTTTTTGATTTCTCAAACCCAAATAACTTATTAATAGAAGTCTATGTGGGCTTGGTACGACACTTAATCTTAATCCGGTCCAATGTTTAGTTCCATTAACTAATTAATCTGTTTAATTACTTTGGGCCATTATAAGTAACCCAATTAATTAATTGTCCAACGCTTGTCAATTAATTAATTAGTATATTTCATTCTTCTAGTTCTCCTTTTGTGTATGATCCATTAGATTCACAATCACGATATCTAACGACGTGAATTATTATTTTGATCTAATCAAAATAAGATAAATTAAAACATCATTTTAATTTATCATTAATTCACATAGATTAATTAATTCACATTCGTCGTTCCAAATTGACATATAACAATGTGTCGGGCAATACATATGACGGAAAATGTCACATAGTATGACAAAACTAAAATTGTTCATTTATCGTGAAACTATAATCCCTTCGTCATTATGATCCAATCAATTACAAAATATGAAGTGTGTCAATTTCAATTATCAATCATATCATTCATCATATTATTATGTCAATATAAGTCGAAAACTATTTTTGACTTATGAGTACACATTTACCAAAGATTTCGTTATCAACTTAAGTGAATGAAGAAATTTAGATAATAATCTTTTAGTGTTTAAGAGTGAAGAAACATATCATTCACAACTTTTATATGATTCTTGACATGCTTGAATGATATCATATTAGTGACTCCTGGTTAAACAACATTCAACATCACTAAAGCATGACTATCCCATATAAGGCAATATAATGACCTCAAGTCAAAAGACCAATTTCATTAACGAACGTTAAAAATTAACTACAGACACTCATATAGTTATTTATGTGGAATCTCTCTAGCGGGTCTCCAATATTTTGTTCTTATAATAAAACATTCACGTGTCCATTTAAATGTCACCACATTTTAGCTTGTGAGATCAGCTACTTATTTCACATCTGAAAATACCACACGTGATGGTCTATTAATAACGATATTCATATCTCTTTACTACTTACGATCATGGATAAATTAAAATCGTGGATAGAGTTGTTATTTATTTCATAAAAGGCCCTGGTTGTGATTTCCATAATTGCAACCAACCCACGACAAACAGAAAATCCATTTAGATCACGATCATGAACTTTTTTTGAAAGAAAAATGACTTCAGTCATTTTCATTTATCACTTTCGAGTTTGAATGATATCTCGCCTTTTATTTTAAGTAATAGTTTAACTTATTCAAAATTAATTGTAAGTTACACACTTAAAATCGAATACGGCATAGTTAGAAGTTTGAAAAACATCTTGTCTTTTATTATAAATGATGGTTTAACTTATTCAAAATCAATTATAAATCATGTACCTAAAAATCGAATAGGTATACTTGAATTGTGTGGAGTGAAGCACGATAAATCGTATAGAACGATGTTCGACTTTCTATACTTTTTAAAATGAAATAGGTTGAAATCTAACACAATTTGAAAGTTTAAAAGTTTGATTGACATCTCATCTTTCATTATACATGATTTAAATTATCGAGATTGTGTTATAAGTCATATACATAAAAACGAATAGTGGAGCATGATGATGATGTTCAATTTCCTATACGTTTTTAAACGAAATAGGTTGAAATCAAACACGGTCTAAAAGGTTAAAAATTTTATTGGCATGTCTTTCATTTTAAATGAAGTTTTAACTTATCGAAATCAATTGTAAGATGGATATTTAAAAATTGAACGCGGTATACTTGAACGTTGTATAGTACATCACAATGAGTTGTATATAACAAAGTTCGTCTTCTTGTACATTTTTAATTAAATAGGTTGAAATCAAACACATTTTAAAAGGTTAGATGTTCGATTAGCTCTTTCATTAAACGTGATAGTTTAACTTATTGAAATCAATTGCAAGTCATATACTTAAAAATCGAATGCGGTATACTTGAACAGTGTGTAGTAGAGCACGATCCCATTTATATTACAATGTATGCTCTATGTTGTGAGTTTTTATCGTAATTCATTCCTAATTTGTGTTTTATGAATGTTGGACAATTTGTTTTCAAGTTCTTTAATTTCATATAACAAATGATGAATGCAAAAAGCGACTGTTTTTCAGTTTCGCATCTCTTTTGATTATATACTCGTTTCTCTATACATTTTAAATGAAATATTTTGAAAGCAAGCCAAACACAGTTTAAAATGTTATACAATATGATTTAACTTCTCAAAACAAATTGTAAGTCATATACTTAGAAATAAATACGTTATTCTTGAACATTATTAGTAGAGTACGATGAATTGTATAAAATGAAGTGCGTCTTCCTATTCGTTTTAAACTAAATAGGTTGAAACTAAACACAATCTATAATATTAGAAGTTTGATTCGCATCTCATCATGCATTATACATTATTGTAAGTCGCATACTTTGACATCATACTTGAACATTGTTGGTGGAGTACGATGAATTGTATAAACCAAGTTCGTTTTCCTATATATTTTTGAACGAAATAAGTGAAATCAAACACTGTTTATAAGATTACGTGTTTAATTGACTTCTCTTCTTTGATTATACGCGATGATTTAACTTATTCAAATTAATTATAAGTTGTATACTTAAGCAATGTATCATTATAATGAAATTAGCCTTCTTATACATTTTTAAAAGAAATATATTGAATGTTGAAGAAATAGATACCAAATTCAACAAATTCATAGAAAAACGATTACAAGTATTTCTAACGACTTGAGTTATTATTCAAAAAGACGAGTGTTTTTAAATGACTAGTTGATTTCAACTAGAGTCTTTTAAAAAGACTCATTATAGTCGCATTTTACAAGTCGTTTCAAACGACTCTGATCTTTTCATAAAAACGAATATGGTAAACAACTAGAGTGAACAATTTGTAGTGGAGCACAATGGTAACATAAGTCTTTCAAAATCGAATACAGATAGCAAATTTAATTACAAATTCATAGAAAAATGACTACAAGTCTTTCAAAACTACTTCAAAAAGTTTCGAAAATACTAGTCTTTTTAAACAACTGAAGTCATTTTAGGAAAGTAACGCCAGTCATTTTAAAAAATTTTGGTCATTTTTTTCCTAAAACGACTTTAGTCATTTTTTTATAAATGTTGGTTTATTTTTTTCAGGTTGATTTAGTTCATATAACAAGAGAGATAATGTTGATTTTTCTTAAGAAATTAATTGTTGACTGTAATTTTTTTAGAAAGGCCGTCTTTCAAAACGACTCTAGTTCTAGTCGTTTAAAAGATTGTAGTCATTTTTTTTTCCTAAAATGAAGTGTGGTCTTTCTAAAATAATTAGAGTCAATATTTTTGAAAGGATTCGTCAACTTAATACGAACTAAATCAACCTAAAAAATACAAATTTTAAAGTAAATTGGGGATCAACAATTCAACAGACATTATAATGAGTTGAAATCAAATTATAGTATACACTCACAACATACAAATACAAATCAAAAAGTCCTAGACTGTTTGGTCATGGGTCGAGCCTGTGGGATGCGCTCTTTCCTTGGAATGTGTTGTAACATTTGCATCACATCAATCACCGATGTTATATATGAATTCCATCCTGCAAATGACACGAGACTATTAGAAATGAATCGGAATGAATGTGCTAAATAGGTCTCAAAAATTAAACCTCAAGATAAATCAAAACATAATAGACGCCAAACAGAGATGAATTTACATCATAAACAGAAGAACCACAAATGCAGATGCATTAAAAGAAGGTAACCCATAACAAGTACAGAAACTTGAAA